GGCTCAAGCAGAAAAAATGTTTTGAAAATGATAATGACAACATGTATACAAAGGTTTTTGATTTAATTGATGTATGGATGGTTATAAGAGCTGTAAGAGCCCCCAATAAAATGATTTTTTTTTAAATAAAAAGTACAAAGGCCAGCCAGAGTGGTAGAAGATATTTGCAATGGATCTCATCAACCAAGGGTCTGACTAGATATATAAATAATTCTTCCAACTCATTAAGAAAAAGATAAGTCACACAATTAAAAATGAGCAAGAAATTCGAACATGAATTTAATAAACGACGACCAAATATCAGCCGAAAGGAGCTCAGTTTCCTCAATTACCAGAGAAATACTTCTTTAAAACGATAGTACCAATCAAGACCATATCCTCCAGAATGGCTGAAATAAAACTACTTGTGATGGAAGTGCTGGTGAGGGCTCACACACACTGTTTGGCATTATCTACTACAGCTGAACACTCAACATCTGATGACTATCCGCTCAATGCAGTGTCATATACTCAGCTGTAACACAGGCACATGAACACCAGGAGACCTGTTCAGTGATGTGTACAGTACCCTTATTCATAAGAACCTCAACTAATAAATTACGATATGTTCATAAAATAAATTACAGCTGTGACACTGAAGGAACTACATAGTTATTCACAAAACATGAAGGCCTCTCACCACCATCCTTTTGAATAATAAAGTCAGACAAATGGATACACTGATATCTATATGCATATATGTGTGTGTATGTGTGTATAAAATGTTTGATCCTCCATATAAAACATTCAAGCACAGGCAAACAAATGTGTGTTGCTAGAAGTTAAGGCAGGAGTTATCTCTGGGGTGGAAGAAAAGGTCATTCATTATTTGGGAGGAGCTGGTGATATTTTATGTCTGGATCTGAGCGGTGTTTGCACAGAGATTAGCTGGGCTGTTCCATAGATACTGTGCATTTATGTTTTGTGCATCTTCCCATATGTGGTTACTGGACATTGAAATGGAAAATTAGAAAAAGAGGAAATGAAGACTTGAACCAGTGAGTGAGACATACTGAGAAGGAGCCAAAAAGGCTGTTGAACTATAGATATGCCATCCACTTATGA